TACTAATTCTCTAGTCGTGACTAGTGTTACTTGACTCGACCTAGTCTCTGCTCCTTGTGGAACATAGGGCCTCAAACATACCCTTCCGTTTTGCCCGGTTCCCAGCTATTAATTTTGCAATCTCCAAAGGCGTCCCTGACGTCTTTAGTTCTTCGAGAAGACCCGCCTCCAGGTCTGTCTCCGGCGCTTTCTCTTCCGCTTTCCCTGGGGGTTCCACTCAAGCGCCTGGTTGTCACATTTGAGTGAAACTTTTGTGTGTGTCCAAACCAAGCGTCACTTCCTCCTTCTAAATTTTACTGTTATAGGCTCCTGCCTATATTTTTTTCATAAGTATATATTTGTAACATTGTACTAGTAACTCAATTTCAAAATCCGTGCCTGATGTTTGTTCATGAATTCATGAAGGTATGCATCTTCTCTCTGTTTGCTCTAGAGACTATTCATATCTCTGCCCAATACTGCAAACGTTTCTTGACAATTGAATGTAGTATCCTAATTTTAGTTGTGTTGGAAATGACGTATTTTTTCCATATGGGTCTCAGAACTGTGAAAGCGTAGCAGTCCCTATTAATTCTAGCACGTATGTCCTCCTCTGTGTCTCCCTGTCAGTTGATCTTGCTGCCAATGTAGACAAACTCGCTCACATCATTTACGTGTCTTCCATCTTTGCTTTTCTACGGCCTCCTATTTATCTGGACATAAATAACATTACGATTTCCGTCGATCACGTTATGAAAGAATAGTGGGAGAATTGATGCTTGTTGTTTTAACCCCCCCCCCCCCCCCCGCAGACAAATCTTATCAAGGCCACTTTAAGGGGGTAAACTAACATAATGAAAAAATCCTTGGTTACTTTGATTAGCCAAGGTAAAGATACTTTATTATCGTTTATTAAAACATTCATTTCATAAGTTGATTCGTTCTCTTTCCAATGTCTGTTCTATTTTTTTCAGCTCAGATACAGTGTCCAAGTGGATACGGAACCTACAATGGACAATGCTATCATTTTGGGTCTACTGGTAACTGGAGTCATGCGAAGGCGTTTTGCGCAACCTTCGGTCTTTCAGTGATGGGTTTCAGATCGATTGATGACATGAAACCTTTTATCAATTCTGATGCCGCTTTCCTTTGGGTCGGCGCCACGGATATCGCTAACGAAGGGGTGTTTGTATGGGACGACACACGTCAACCAATCACTGTGGACTTTCAGAACATCGTTGACATGTCTTCAAATACAGATAGTAACGATTGCTTGATTGCTGAATATATTACTTCTTCAGACCTTATTCAAGTCTATGCTACAGATTGTGTAGCCCGCGTTGCTTCTTCTAATTGCATGGGAGAACTACACTCTGAAGGTTAGTCAAAAAAGCCATGTAGGCAGCAATCAAACCAGCGCAAACTGTTCAAAAGAACAATGTTGATAAATGTATAATAATATTTTGTTTTAAATGAAGTTGTGTTTTAAATTTTTTTATCAATTGTTTTAAAATATTTTCGATATAATTTTCGCCAGTGGTTTGAAATACACGCATTACTACATTCATATTTCCGAAAAAATTACCCCTATAGTTTTGAAATCGACATACATGTAAACACCAATTGCTTACTATAATTTTACAATTCACCTCTGTAAATATTGTGAAATAAAACATACAACTCCTATTTTTTTTTTAAATTTATTAGATAAACTAATAAACTAGGGTATACTAAAATAGTTGTTTAATTATATAAAAACTTTTTGTACCACCCAGTATTCTGGATTTTATAACATTAGTTTACTACTTATAAAATTAGCCTTACTGAGTAGTTGATAATAATAACCTTTTAATTGAAAGTATTATTTTTTTCCTTTAAAAAAACAACTACCACCCCAGAAGATACTACTACTCCCAGCACCACCCATAGGACAAGTAAGTTTTCAAATTATTTTAATCACACTCAGCGTTTTTTTTTACATTTTTAGTTGATTATTTCTCATTTTACAACCGGAATTGTGATCAAAACATTAATCACCTGGCTTTTACTTTTAGAAAAACCGTGCAAGAAAGGCTAAGAAGGCAAAATTTTAAAGAGGTATGTTGAAATTCACTAGCGGATACTTTTCGCTTTTAAATATATTAGGCTGTGATCAGATTTCGGATTCGAAATGTGTGTTTTTTTTTTCTATTTATTTCAAATGTTGTCAGCATTAATTTATAGACATGGAAACAGTAAACACGTGTTTAAAAAGATATTTTATCAGACTACTTCACTTGTATCAAAGTAATTTGAAAATTTTGAAGTTAATCCTACTACCAACTTGTATTAAGAGAAAATTTTAATTATTCCTTGTGTTTCGAATATTTAAAAAATTTAAACTATTTTTTAAAACAGAAAACAGTTCATAATTATTCAATAAATAAAAGTGAAGATCTGTTAATTGCATATTTTAATGTTTTCAACGGCAACCACATATTAATTATAATAATATTTCTTTCAACAGAGTTTAAACGTGCCCCTGGAAATCAACATTTCTTTAACTATGAATTTGAACGTCATGAACTTTTGTTTGTCTTTGGGGCATAGGCATACTTTTGTAATTTTTAATCCTCTAAATTCTGAATATCTTAAAAAGAAATTTAAAAACAAAAAAAGCCTACTCTCTTTTGAAATAAATGAGTCTCTTAAATACAACATGAGTTTTTGGTTTTACATTTACTGTTACTTTCAAAATGAAATAAAAATAATGTTCACGGACAACAAATAAAACCATAAACAAGTGTTATTATAATACCAATTATTATATACAAATTTCGAATAACAAAAACAAAATTATTTTAAAAATATAATAAAGGGTTTATTTGTGTATTGTTTGGTGTAAAATTCAAATGAATATTATTTTAATTGAGATCCCAACATATGTTCAACAAATGGGAAAGAGAAGGGGGCGTTGCAAAATGTTGACTGACATACATATCTAAAGAACAGAAAAGATGCCAGTGAAAATGCTGCATATGCCTTATCCAAGGATCTCCTAGAATACATTTAACATACAATTTCAAAATGTAATGAAAGAATCCCATAGTTCTATCATTATCCATAAAAATAAAAAATAAAAATTCCTTTATATGGGGTCGTCCATAAATGACGTCACACTCGTAGGGGGAGGGGTCCGTAATTTTTTGACGGTGTGTGATGAGGGGGAAGGGGGGGGGGGGTCAGATAGTGTGACGTCATACTTTTGCATTAGAAAAAAATCAAGGTTAGAAAATCAATTTTAGACGTTATTTCGCGTTTTAGAAAACTGTTTTAATAAATTGCAATAGGAATTGATTAATATACTCTATTCTGACAGAGTTCAGACAAATTTTCGAAAAATGTTGTTTTAAGAAAAATTGAACTGCAATTTTGAGAGGGAAGGGGTTTGTAGGCTGAGGTGTGACGTCATTCTAGGGGGAGGGGGGGGGGGTCTGGCGTTTTGTCACGATGTGTAACGGAGGGGAGGGGGAGGTAAAAATCGTCAAAAAAAAGCATGACGTCATTTATGGATGACCCCTATGGGCTGCGTTTTAGCTCAGAAATTAATTATATAGTTATTTGTATAACGTTATTTTGATATCGCGTGTAACTACAATTTTATTTAGACTTGAGATATCAGATTCCCGCACACATTTGTGAGCTTACATTCCTGCTATCTCCAATCTGAAAAAGCTCTCTGCCCCTCCACTCCTCTCCCAATAGATCTCGATCTAAGTAAGTAAAATATAGTTTTCTTATGCCATACTTAATTTGGACCCGAAAAAAACTGCTCATAGACTGGGTTTACCCAGTTTCGTTTCAATTTACATTTACTCGATTATTTATTGAAAGAAAATTAATTACTGAAATTTGAAATCAGTGACAGGTCCCAGAAACTTTCGGGAGGGGGAAAAACTAAAAATAATTTTTCTTAATATTTTTTTTCTGTTTAGATCGGGAGGGGGTGTGAGGAGGACTTGTATTCTTTTTTTTTAAGGGGGGGGGGTGGGCTTCCCCTCCCGTCAAAGAGATCCGGGGGGGGGGGATTTCCCCTCCCGTCAAAGAGATGCCTTTTAGAATCTCTTTAGTGGAAGTTATCCCAAAATCATCAGGGATTTGATCTGACCCAATATAAGTTTCATGCAGCTCCTGTGTGTCAGAGCTAAACACTCTCAGGGAATTATTGCACTTATTATTAGCTTCATACAGAAGCGTAGCTATCCATTCCGGCTACCGAAGGAACTATCAATTTGGTTCCGCCAATTTAAATAGTCACAATGGCGGAAAAGCGGCTCTCCCCACTTTGGAAAGGTTGGAGACGCTTTTTACCAGTCGCTGTGTAGTTAACAAGCCGCATCGATCACAATTGTGTGGGTTTGTGATCGACCGTTTATACAGCCCCCATTTGTGTGATGTTATAGTAGATCATCCATATCCATCACAAGTGTGTGGGTTCGAGATTAACCATCCATACAGCCTACGTTTGTGTGAGGTCTTAGTTTACCGTCCATACCAACTACGTTTGTATGATTTCGTAGTTAACCATCCATACAGCTACGTTTGTATGAGGTTGTAATAGACTGTATGTGCGTATGTCAATGTCGCAAACAAAACCTAAATTGATGAACGTTGTATCTAAAACAAAATCAATATGATTTTAGGTTTTTATTGCAATGTTTTGATTTAAAATCTCTTTTGAAGCGAAAGAAAACCACATTAATTAGTAATATAACGACAATAACTTTTCGGTAAAGACTTTGAAGTAAAATGTTTTGTCGTGCGCCAGCTGGTAGGCTGTGTACAGATGAACGTCAGTTGACGGTGGCGGTGATTGCTTCACTGGTTTGCCACAAAGAAGACGGGAAATTGATATACGCTCACTGTTCAGTTGAACGTGGGCTTGATTATTTAGTGCGTCAAAAGATTCATACAGGTTAAACGAAATACCTGGTACACATAGAAAATTACAAATTACTAGATAAGTGATCCGATATATCACTCTTTGGGCATCATTTGTATTAATCTTAGTCCTGAGATTTTTAAAATTTTACTAATGTATAAACCTCATAATTTTTTGAAGTATTCTCATATCATTTGTTTAATATTAGAAACAGACTTTCTTCTATTTGTTCTAAATTTTTAGTGTTGGGGGGATCGTGCCTTATCTGTTAGTAGAGGGTTCGAACTCAAGCCTTTTTTTTTCTTATTTAACAACCATGAACTTTGCCGACCCGACCACGCCTCCAGCCATTGACTCCGATTTCAGCCTGCTTTTCTTTTTGGATTTGCTTCCATAGCCTTTGTCCAACCAAGAACAAACTACAAGGAAGCAGTTGTTTGAATTTGAAGTTGTCTCTCATAGAAGAGTGGCTGTCCCCAGCTAACGAGCCTCATCTGCCTGAGGGTTCGGGCTCGAAACTTTTCGGTTTAGCAACCATGAGCTTTAGCGACTCGACCACGCCGACCCCTAGAGGTCTATTAATTTTTGTGGACGTCCACATGGGGGGGGGGGGGGTAGTCAGTCTAAAGTATGGAGGGAGGGAGGGGTCTCTAAATTCTGAAATATTCGTTGACGTCATAAATGGATGACCCCTAAGTCCCTCGGCGTGTCAGGAGTTCACGGGGCTCTTACGGGCTACCGGTTACATTGTGCACGGGTGATTGGTGCAACCTCTGGTTAAATTTAGTCATCGAATGTAGTAGCGAGACTTATCCCTAGTGTTGTATGAACTTTTAAACGACTGTAGGGGCCAAACTACTCATATGTGATTATGTATCAGGGCAGAGATTTGCATGTTGTCTTGAGATGGGTTAAGTGTTAACGCCCACGTGTGTGTGAGAACGCAGTTGACCCTACACACCGCCCACGTGTGTGTGAGAACGTAGTTGACCATACACACCGCCCTCCTGTGTGTGAGAACTTAGTTGACCCTACACACCGCCCACGTGTGTGTGAGAACGTAGTGGACCCTACACACCGCCCACGTTTGTGTGAGAACTTAGTTTACCCTACTCCTCCCACGTTTGTTTGAGGTCTTGTTTGACTATCTAATCCTCCCCCAGCTATTATATCTTTACTCAAAAGCACATCAAAAGCATTCCAATACCGCTATTGAAAAGCTTCGATTTTCAATAGATTACATGTTTTAGCTTTTAACGAATTTCTTTTTTTTTTTTGAAACACCCACACACATTTTTACGTAACTTTTATAATACAGGGAGTGTAGGTGTTGTCCAATAATGGTCGATTTTGGTGACCACTCAACGTAGCATTTGGTTTTTTCGTACATGCAAGAAGAGTTTTTTTTCAAGTTCTCAACGTAGAAAGTCCCAAAACTTTCCTTTGCAATTGCGGAGTATCAACTGAATTTATTTTCTAGTTCAGGTTATCAAATAAATCATTGGACATACAAACATACACACACACATACAGGAACACACACAAACAAAAAATATGGTCATATATATATATATATATATATATACATACATATATATATATATATATATATATATATATATATATATATATATATATATATATATATACAGAACAAAATATAATAGCCTCAGATCCCAAAAAGGAAATAAGATATTAAGATCCCGTAGTTTATTGAGTATATTTATTAATAAATGTTTTCAGCAATTGAAAACATCATTAATAAGTAATACAATAACGATAACTCTTTTGTAAAGAGAATTTTCAAAGGGCTTCGAGTAGAGACAGCTGGTAGGTTGTTTACTAGCAAACTTCAATAGCGAACATTGATAAATCCTTTACTGAATCACCACAAATGAGACTGATGTAAACACGAAGATTTCTTCAACGTGTCTATATTTAGCCAAATCGTTAATGATTATACCAAAGACAGTAGGAGGCGCGTGGGTTTTAATGGTGAGGTATATAAAAATTTGCGTGGGTTTTAATGGTGAGGTATAAAAATTTTTGAGTGGGTTTGAAAGAAGGAATAAAATGTATAGCAGGGATCGGTCTAAGTTGTAGTGTGCTGCTGTAGACGTGGGTATCAGCTTCTGCGGGTATGTCGTTTACTTAAATGTTACTTTGTTATTCTAAAAACTTATATTTATTAATTTCCTGTATTTGCTGTATTTGACATTAAATTGCTCTCTTCATTGAACTAACATCTTGATCCATATTCTTGTTTCATCATTAAAGCCTGCGAAAAAATTGCTGCGTTTTGTGTTACTCATTTAATATCATAAAATATAAACAGAAACTAAAACACACAAAGAAGTTATTTGTTTATAAATCATATTGAGTAAATATTTTGTCCTATCGATTTAAATAAAACACATGCCATTGTTATTAGACATCCAAAATCAACATAATCGAGGACTGTATTCATGTTCAACCAACTGTGGAAGCCCTCCGTTAATCTAGTGCTCGAATTTTGGTTAAAAGCACACAGCTAAGTATTGGTAGCACGGAAACTGGTATATACCCAAGGATAATGAAATGCTGCTATTATATTACGAATACATTTTTTATTTGTATTTTTTATATTATAGGGATATTTGTATTATAAGGATATATCTGCTAATATATGTCTTTTACGTTATTTATACCACTAGGAAAAAAAGTTTAAAGAACTATAGACTTGACTTGTATCCTAAATAACTTTTACAATGTTGGCTGTGTTCATTATCATCACGACAATTGTGTCATGTGCAGGTAAGTATTGTTGACATCATATTATATATATATATATATATATATATATATATATATATATATATATATATATATATATATATATATAACGTGACGACCCATGAAGCAAGTAAAGTTCCCCTGTTTCTGTGAACTTCTTATAAGATATGATAATGTTTTTAGCACTACGGCCAGCTGTGTTTTATTTCCTTAACGTTAGTCAGGTACTCACCAGAAAGGGTGGACACATAGAGGTCCTACACAATCAAGTTCGAGATCCGAACTCACATCATCCGTGTCAGCAGTCAAGCTTTCTTGTTTTCGACCGCAAAGTCTATGTGTAGTTGATTTTGTAGTAATGCTTATCGCTGCCGTTATTTTGGTGGCTTTAGCTCTATGTATGTAGAAACACTAATTATAGATTCATCAAAATTAATGCTTAAAGCTGGTTGAGTAGCCATAGGCTGTAGTTTCATGAAGTTTATTTCCATTCATCTGTTATGTTTAAGAAACCATTTCTCTAGACATAAATGACGCTAAAAGGTCCGTCGATTTACGTTATCAAAATAGCATGCTTAATTTAAAAGAATAGCGGGAGACAGGATGCCTGTTGTTTTAACCAGGCCTGCCTCCCAATCTCAGCGAGGCCACAGTAAAGTGTAAACTACCATTTGGAAAAATCCTTGGTTTCTATGAATAGCCAAGGTATAAGATACATTTTTCTGTATTATCGTTTATTAAACTGTTCGTTTTATGAGGCGACTCAACTCGTCCTCTTTTCAATGTTTGTCCTATTTTTTATAGCTCAGATACAGTGTCCAACAAATGAATACGGAATCTACAATGGACAATGCTATCATGGCGGGTCTGGTGGTAACTGGAGTCAGTCGCAAGCGTATTGCGCAACCTTCGGTCTTTCAGTGATGGGTTTCAGATCGATTGATGACATGACACATTTTCTCAATTCTGATGCTGCTTTCCTATGGGTCGGCGCCACGGATATCGCCAACGAAGGGGTATTTGTTTGGGACGACACACGTCAACCAATCACTGTGGACTTTCAGAACATCGTTGACATGACTTCAAATACAGATAGTAATGATTGCCTGATTGCTGAATATATATCTTCTTCAGCCCCTATTCAAGTCTATGCTACAGATTGTGTAGCTGTCGAAGCTTCTTCTAATTGCATGGGAGCACTAAATTCTGAAGGTTAGTCGAAAACAATGTAGGCATCAATCAAATCTGCGCAAACCGTTTGAAATAACAATGTAGACATCTGTATAATAATATTTTGTTTTAAATGAACTTGTGTTTTTTATTTTTGTAACATCTAAAAGGATTGGTTTATTTGTTTATCAATTGTTTAAAAATATTTTCGATATAATTTTCGCCAGTGTTTTGAAATACACGCAATACTACATTTATATTTCCGATAAATTAACCCTATAGTTTTGAAATCGACATACATATAAACACTAATTGTTTACTATAATTGTAACATTCACTTCTGTAAATATTAGGAAATAAAACATTCAACGCCTATATTTTTTAATGAATTAGATAAACTAATAAAAATGGTATTCTAAAATTGTTGTTTTTTTAATATATAGAAGCTTTTTAGTACCACAATGTATTCTTGATTAAATAACATTACTTCTTATTAAATTAGCCTCACTGAGTACTTGACAATAATAACATTTTAATTGAAAGTATTTAATTATTTTTTTCTTCAAAGAAACTACTACCCCACAAGATACTACAACTCTCACCACTCATAGGACAAGTAAGTTTTTAAATTATTTTAATCACACTCAGCGTGTTTTGCATTTTTAGTTGATTATTTCTCATTTTACAATCGGAATTGTGATCAAATTTAAACCTAGCTTTTACTTTTAGAAAAACCGTGCAAGAAAGGCTAAGAAGACAAAATTTTAAAGAGGTATGTTCAAATCCACTTCAGAATACTTTTCTTTTTTAAATACATTAGGCTGTGATCAGATTTCAGTTTCGAAATGTGCTTTTTTTCTATTTATTTTAAATGTTGTCAGCATTAATTTATAGACATGGAAACACTAAACAAATGTTTAAAAGGATATCAAAGTAATTTTAAAATTTTCAAGTTAATCCTACTACCAACTTGTATTAAGAGAAGATTATAATCATTCCGTGTGCATCTAATATTTAAAAATTTTAAACTATTTTTAAAACAGAAAAACAATTAATAATTATTTAATAAATAAAAATAAAGGACTGTTAATTGCAAATTTTAATGTTTTCAAATTAATTCAATAAATTATAATAACTTATTTCTTTCAACAGAGTTTAAACTTGCCCCTGGAAGGCCTGGCAATCAACATTTCTTTAGCTATAATTTGGACGTCATGACACTTAATATATTTTTTAAAAAAATTCTGTCTTCAGGGCATACTTTTGTAATGTTTAATCCTCTTAATTCTGAATATCTTAAAAATAAATTTAAAAACGAATAAGCCTACTCTCTTAAAATAAATGAGTCTATTAAATACAGCATGAGTTTTTGGTTTACTTTTACTGTTACTTTCAAAATGAAATAAAAATAATTTTCACAGACAACAACACCATAAACAAGTGTTATTATAATACAAATTATTATATAAAAATTTCGAATAACAAAAACAAAATTATTTTAAAAATATAATAAAGTGTTTATTTGTGTATTGTTTTGTGTAAAATTTAAATGAATATTATTTTAATTGAGATCCCAACATATGCTCAACAAATGGGAAAGAGAAAGGGGCGTTGCAAAATGTTGACTGACACACAGATCTAAAGAATAGAAAAGACGTCAGTGAAAATGCTGCAGTTGCCTTATGCGTGGATCTCCTAGAATACATTTAACATACAATTTCACAATTTAGTGAAAGAATCCCATAATTCTATCATTATCCATAAAAATAAAAAATAAAAATTCCTTTATATGGGGTCGTAAATGACGTCACACTCATAGGGGGAGGGGGGATCCGTAATTTTGTGACAGTGTATGATGAGGGGGAGGGGGTGGGCGATGGTGGGCTTCCCCTCCCGTTAAAGAGATGCAGGGGTGGCTTCCCCTCCCGCCAAAGAGATGCCTTTTAGAATCTCTGTAGTGGAAATTATCCCAAAATCATCAGGGATGTGACCAGACCCAATATAAGTTTCATGCAGCTCCTGTGTGCCCAGTGGCGTAGCGGAGGGGGGGGGGCGGGGGGGGGGGGGACATATGTCCCCGGGCGCCGACCTTAGGGGGGCGCCAAATTGAAAGTTTGAGGGGGGGGGGGGTGCAAATGAAAAGTTCGAGGGGGGGGTGCAAATCGAAAGTTTGAGGGGGGGGGGGGGGTTCAAATGAAAAGTTCGAGGGGGGGTGCAAATCGAAAGTTTGAGGAGGGGGTGCAAATGAGAAGTTCGAGGGGGGGTGCAAATCAAAAATTTGCTCCCGAGGGGGGCGCCAAATTGAAAGTATGTCCCCGGGCGCCGGGAAGGGTCGCTACGCCTCTGTGTGTGCCAGAGCTAACCACTCTCAGGGCATTATTGTCCTCATTATTAGCTTCATACAGAAGCTTAGCTATCCATTCCAGCTACCGAAGGAACTATCAATTTGGTTCCGCTAATTTAAATAGTCACAATGGCGGGAAAGCGGCTCTCCCCACTTTGGAAAGGTTGGTGACGCTTTTTACCAGTCGCTGTGTAGTTAACAAGCCGCATCGATCACAATTGTGTGGGTTTGTGATCGACCGTTTATACAGCCCCCATTTGTGTGATGTTATAGTAGATCATCCATATCCATCACAAGTGTGTGGGTTCGAGATTAACCATCCATACAGCCTACGTTTGTGTGAGGTCTTAGTTTACCGTCCATATCGACTACGTTTGTATGATGTCGTAGTTAACCATCCATACAACTACGTTTGTATGAGGTTGTAATAGACTGTATGTGCGTATGTCAATGTCGCAAACAAAACCTAAATTTATGAACGTTGTATCTAAAACAAAATCAATATGACTTTAGGTTTTTATTGCAATGTTTTGATTTAAAATCTCTTTTGAAGCGAAAGAAAACCACATTAATTAGTAATATAACGACAATAATTTTTCGATAAAGACTTTGAAGTAAAATGTTTTGTCGTGCGCCAGCTGGTAGGCTGTGTACAGATGAACGTCAGTTGACGGTGGCGGTGATTGCTTCACTGGTTTGCCACAAAGAAGACGGTTAATTGATATACACACACTGTTGAACGTGGGCTTTGTTATCAAACGATTCATACAGGTTGAACGAGTTACCTGGTACACTTAGAAAATTACAAATTACTAGATAAGTGATCCGATATATCACTCTTTGGGCATCATTTGTATTAATCTTAGTCCTGAGATTTTTAAAATTTTACTAATGTATAACTCTGTCAGAGGGTTCGAAATCGAGACTATTTTTAAAATTTAACAACCATGAGATTTGCCGACTCGACCACGCCTCCAGCCATCGACACCGATTTCAGAGTGCTTTTCTTTTTGGATTAGCTTCCATAGCCTTTGTCCAACCAAGAACAAACTACAAGGCAGCAGTTCTTTGATTTTGGAGTTGTCTCTCATAGAAGAGTGGCTGTCCCCAGCTAACGAGCCTCATCGGCTCGAGGGTTCGAGCTCGAGACTTTTCGGTTTAGCAACCATGAGCTTTACCGACTCGACCACGCCGACCCCTAGAGGTCTATTAATTTTTTGTAGACGTCCACATGAGGGGGGGGGGGGAAGTCAGTCTGAAGTGGACGTGAGGAGGGAGGGAGGGTCTCTAAATTCTGAAATATTCGTGGACGTCATAAATGGATGACCCCTAAGTCCTTCGGCGTGTCAGAGGATTCTCGGGGCTCTTAGGGGCTACCAATTACATTGTACACTGGTGATTGGTGCAACCCCTGGTTATATTTAGTCATCGAATGTAGTAGCGAGACTTATCCCTAGTTTTGTGTGAACTTTTAAACGACTGTAGGGGCCAAACTGCTCATATGTGATTATGTATCAGGGCAGAGATTTTATGATGTCTTGAGATGGGTTAAGTGTTAAATAAAGCGGCCATAGGGTAACATTTTTTTTGGACTATTTGGAAGGGGGCGGGAGAGAAGACGCTTGTTGTTTTTACTGGTAATCGACAAGTTGTGATCGAAACTTAGCCAAACTCCTGTTCAAGAGTAAATTGCCATTCCGAGAAATTTCAGTTTTTTCGTGTTTATTGGGTATAAAATAAATATTTCAGCAATATCGTTCATTAAATATTTCAACAAACAAACTCGTTTTCGTTTCCGTAACTGTTCTATTTTCTGCTCAATATACAATACAGTGCCCAAACACGGTCTTTTGGTTGTGAGTTTCTGATTGGTAGATGATATAACTCGTTTTATCAGCTCTGATGATGGAGCTCTTTGGGTATGTACCACGGATATCACAATCGAAGTATAATTTATCTCTGATGACACATGTGAACCAGGCACTCTGGACTTTAAGAAAATTGTTGACGTGTTTGAAATATCTATACTGAAGATTACGTGTTTTCCGACTTACAAATTGTTAAAATTGTATTAATAATGAGACCAAATTTGAAAGAAGCATTAAATGGTCATAGTAATTTACACTAATAATTAAACATTTTTGTTTTTGTTCCACAAGCAGCTAGCACTCCTCAAGATACGACGATGACGACTAATTCTAACACCACCCACAAGGCCAAGCAAGTTTTAAATTATTTTTAATTACACTTAGCATTTTTTAAACAACAATATGTGATGCTTTCTCATGTTACAATAGAAATATTGCTCACTATTAAGTACGAAATAAAAACAAAAAATTAAACAAAAAGATTGTCCACCACAGTTTGTTTGTTTTAATTTCATTGAAAATATTGTCATATTAAATAGAAGAAAAAAAAATAAACACAAACGAAATAGATTATAACATGCTTTATTATAACATATTATATAAATGTTTTAATGCTAATGACTAATGTTTACTATGGTGTTTTGTGCAAATTAAAAGGCAATTAAACTGAGAGCCAAACAGATGTGCTACAATTTGGAATTTGATAGGGGCGTTATACTCAAAGATCTGAAGAACAGCATAGAATTCAATGAAATGTAGGGTTCATGAATAATAAGTCTGCTGTTCCTAAAAGGTTTGTGGCCAACACAAGTTATGAATGCATTGGTTTCTATGACTGACTTCAATTTGAAAGCGGTGACGGTATTCATCAAATCCTCTGTGTTAACGCTTACCAAAGTTAAACGAATAACTTGTATTTACCACTACAGGAAAAATTGGAAAGTTGGTGACTGTAAGATGACATGGGCGATATTTTCATCTGGGTTCAACACACAAGCACGAGTGAGTCAGGTAATGATGTGCTACAAGTGGAGTTCAGTTGGCGATGTTAATCAATGGAGGTAGAGGTAAAACATATTGCGCAGCGGTAAATCAATACACGACTGACTATTATGATGACAGCCGCAGTGGTGGATGCTTGGTACGATGGACGATTAAAGTACCTGATAACGCACCTTACTGGGCGAAAGCTGTACAGATGTGCTACAACTGGGAAGCAGATGGGAACACTAGACAATGTGGTGGAGGCGCTCCATTAAACCAGTGCGTCATCGCCAACACATGGACCCAGGGCGAATGCAAGATGAACTCAGACTTGATGACTTTCTGGAAATATAAAAAGGACATTTTGAAAAAATAATTATATTGATAACTATTTTTCTTTCCATTAAATGTAATCACATATTTAGTTTCTGTATTTAGATTACTATTTAAACAAAAAGTACCGTATCCATTACTGTTAAATAACAATTTACTGGAATGTTTAGGGGACATAACTCCTGCTTTATTTTTCTCAGACTAACCCTCTGAAATTGCTGCGCTTTGTAAAGATGTGCGATCGTTGTTTTGCATGGTATTGTATTTAGATATACACATCTTAAAATGTTTCGCTCCTGAATATATGGATGTCGCTGAATCTCACAGTGTTTGATGCATGTCGACATGGATCATTGAAGAACGTCTCAGAAGAGGATGCTGGATACAAAGTTATTTCAAAAGTCGCAGAGGTGGTACATTTGAAAATGAATAATTGAAAGAAGTCAAAGAGGAGGATGTTTGATAAAATGGATGATCGAAGAAAGTAGCAGAAGTGGATGCATAATAATATGACAAAAATAATCAATATTTAATTTGTTATGGTGGTTAACCGTCCATACCGCCTAAGTTTGTGCGACAATTCGACAACTTTTGCTCGAGGTCGTGTTTGACAGTATGTACACGTGTTTGTGACGTCGTTGTCTACAGCCCATATCGCCACACGATTGTAGTTGTAGTCAAACGTCAATTCGGCACACGATTTTTGAGAGGTGGCGGTGGACTGTCCGTAATGCCTACGTGTATATGAGAACGTAGTTGACCCTACATATCGCCCGCGTATGTGTGAGAACGTAGTTGACCCTACACACCTCCCACGTTTGTGTGAGAACGTAGTTGACCCTACACACCGCCAACGTTTGTGTGTGTGAGGTCCTGTTTGAATCTCTAATCCTCCCCAGTCATCATACCTCCACTCAATAGCACATCAAAGCATTCCTATACTGATACTAAAATAAAGCTACTAAGAAAAGCTTCGATTTCCAATAGATTAGTTGCACAGCTCACATTTGTTTTAGTTTTAAATGAATTTCTTTCTTAAACGCCCACATACATTTTAACGTAAACTTTTACAATACAGGGAGTGAAGGTGTTGTCCATAAATGGCCCATCTTAGTGATCACTCCACCTAGTAATTAGATTTTAAAACATGCAATAGGCATTTTCAGTTACACGACGAAGAAAGTACCTGAAATTTCCCGTGTATGTGTATGTGTGTGTGCATGTGTGAGTGTGAGTGTGAGTGTGAGTGTGAGTGTGAGTGTGAGTGTGAGTGTGAGTGTGAGTGTGAGTGTGAGTGTGAGTGTGAGTGTGAGTGTGAGTGTGAGTGTGAGTGTGAGTGTGAGTGTGAGTGTGAGTGTGAGTGTGAGTGTGAGTGTGAGTGTGAGTGTGAGTGTGAGTGTGAGTGTGAGTGTGAGTGTGAGTGTGAGTGTGAGTGTGAGTGTGAGTGTGAGTGTGAGTGTGAGTGTGAGTGTGAGTGTGAGTGTGAGTGTAAGTGTGAGTGTAAGTGTAAGTGTAAGTGTAAGTGTAAGTGTAAGTGTAAGTGTAAGTGTAAGTGTAAGTGTAAGTGTAAGTGTAAGTGTAAGTGTAAGTGTAAGTGTAAGTGTAAGTGTAACATTTTTCGGGCAAACGGCCTTCGCGCAAGTGGCACTCGGGCATTTGTCGCATTCGGGCAAGTGTCCATTCGGGAAAACGTCCGGCTCCCGAAAAAAACATAGTAGCCTTAGATCCAAAAAAAGGAAAAATAAGTAATTAAATCCCTTAGTTTATCTTTTTTCAACAATTGAAAACATCATTAATAAGTAATACAATAACGATAAATCTTCGGTGACGAAAGTTGTCAAAGGGCTTTGAGTAGAGACAGCTGGTAGGTTGTTTACCAGCAAACTTCAATACAGAAAATTTTGATAAATTCTTTATTAATACACCACAAAGGAGACTGATGTAAACACAAAGATTTCTCCAACGTGTCTATTTTTAGCCACATCCTTCAAGGCTATTTCAAGGACAGTAGGAGTCGCGTGGGTTTTAATGGTTAGTTGTAAAAAAATGTGCGTGGGTTTGGAAAGAAGGAATAAAATGTGGAGCCCTCATTGGTGTAGGGTGTAGTGTGCGGCAGTAGACGTTGACATCAGCTTGCCCGGGTATGCCGTTTACTTCAATTTTATTTTCTCATTCTAAAAAGTTATATTTACTAATTTCCTTTAATTTGACATTGAATAGACTCACTTCATTAAACTAAGATCTTGATTCATATTCTCGTTTCATCTATAAAGCCTGCGAAAATAAAGCGATGTTAAAAGACGTTTTGTATCACACCTTTAATATCTTAAAATATAAACAGAAACTTATCCGCACAAAAAAGTGATTTGTTTATAAATCGTGTTGAATACATATTTTTGTTATATCGATTTAAATAAAATACATATCATCGTTATCAGACCTCTAAATTAATCTAATCGAGGGCTGTATTCATGTTCAGCCAACCGTGGAAGCCTTCAGTTAAAACATCTGATGCATTAAATTTCATTAATTCTGGTTAAATCACAAAACTAAGTATTGATAACGCGGATAGTGGTATATACCCAAGGATAATGAAATGCAGAAATTATAGCACCAACACATTTTTAATTTGTATTATAGGGATATATCTACTAATATGTATTTTACTTTATTTATACCTCTTGAAATACAGTTTTGAAAGAACTATAGACTTGATTTGAATCCTAAACTGTACAATGTTGGTTGTGTTCATTATTATCACGACATTTGTGTCATGTGCAGGTATGTATTGTTAACATCATATCATATCATATCATTATATATATATATATATATATATATATATATATATATATATATATATATATATATATATATATATACCTAATTCTATAGAGTGGCTTATTGTAAATATTAATAATATTAAATTAAAGTTCCTTTTCGAAACGTGACGACCCAGGAAGCAAATGGGGTTCTCCCGTTTCTGTGACATTTTCTTAAGATATGATAGTGTGTTTAGCGATACGGCCAGCCGTGTTTATTTTCCCTAACGTTAGTCAGATACCCATCAAAGAATGGTGGACACATAGAGGTCCTACAGACTCAAGTCCGAGATCCGAACTCACATCATCCGTGTCAGCAGTCAAGCTCTCTAGTTTTCGACCGCAAAGTCTACGGATGGTTGGTTTCGTAGTAAAGCATACCGCTGTCGTTATTTTGGGTGCTTCAGCTCTATGTATGTAGAAACACTAATTATAGATTCGTCCAAATTAATGTTTAAAGCTGGTTGAGTAGCCATAGGTTGTAGTTTCATGAAGTTTATTTCCATTCATCTGTTATGTTTAAGAAACCAATTCTCTAGACATAAATGACGTTAACATTTCCGTCAATTTACGTTATCAAAATAGCGTGCTTTAATTTTTAAAGAATAGCGGGAGACTAGACTTGTTTTTACCCCGCCTGCGCCCTATCTCAGCGTAACCATAGTAAAGTGTAAACTACAATTTGGATAAATCCTTGGCTATATTGATTAGCCAGGGTAAAAAATACATTTTTCTGTATTATCGTTCATTTAATAATTCATTTTATATGTTGACTAAACTCGTTCTCTTTTCAATGCATGTCCTATTTTTTTTTAGCTCAGATACAGTGTCCAACAAATGAATACCAAATCTACAATGGACAATGCTATCATAGCGGGTCTACTGGTAACTGGAGTCATGCGCAAGCGTATTGCGCAACCTTCGGTCTTTCAGTGATGGGTTTCAGATCGATTGCTGACATGTCAAATTTTCTCAATACTGATGCTAACACAATTTGGGTCGGCGCCACGGATATCGCTAACGAAGGGGTGTTTGTATGGGACGACACACGTCAACCAATCACTGTGGACTTTCAGAACATCGTTGACATGTCTTCAAATACAGATAGTAACGATTGTCTGATTGCTGAATTAGGACAAACTATTCAAGTCTATGCTACAGATTGTGTAGCTACAGTAGCTGGTTCTAAATGCATGGGAGAATTATATTCTGAAGGTTAGTCGAAAACTGTTATCTCAAAAAAACAATATAGATGTCGATATAATATTTTTTAAATGAAGTTGCATTTTATATTTTGGAAAATATAAGAGAATTGGTATAGTCATTTATCGAGTAAAAAATTTTTCGACATAATTTTAGCAATTGTTTTCAAAAAACATGTAATAATACATTCATATTCTGAATAAATTAAACCTTTAGATTTGTAAACCGACATACGCATATACAATAATAGCTTTAAATGATTGTATTTTTCAGTTCAGTAAATATTCCGAAATAGAACATTAGATATATACAATAATAGCTTTAAATAATTGTATTTTTCAGTTCAGTAAATATTCCGAAATAGAACAATATTAATTGCTAATAAATGTATTTAGTTTTTAAACAGTTTAAAAAATATAAATTATATGTATTTTGTTACTTACCAGAATATTTGATACATATTTAACATTAATTTAAGACTTATAGAATTAGCCATAACGTTTTAATTGAAACTATTATATCGGTTTTTTTCAAAGGAACTACCACCCCACAAGATACTACAACTCCCAGCACCACTAAGAGAACAAGTAAGTTTTACAAATTGTTAAATTACACTCAGTGAGTTTTACAACTTTAGTTGTAAATTTCTCATATAACTGTCATAATAGTGTTCAACATTTAACATTAATTACCTTGCTTTTACTTTCAGAAAAACCGTGCAAGAAAGGCTAAGAAGGCAAAAGTTCACAGAGGTATGTTGAAATCTAGTATCGAACACTTGGTGTTCAAATATTTGAATTAAAGGCTGTGCTCTGATTTGGTTTTCGAAATGTTTTTCTTTTAATTTTTTTCAAATGTTGACAGCTGTATTTATAGATTTGGAAACGATACATATGACTACAAATGATATTCTCATTGGACTACTTCACTGGTATAAAAATAATTTTAAAATGTTTCAAGTTAAACCATCAATTTACTTGTATTAACAGAATGTTTAAGTATTCCTATTATATCAGATTTGAATCTATTAGTCAAACATAGAAGTAAATAACTATTCAATTAAAAACTTTAACACCTGTTAAATGCAAATGTCAATGCTTTCCACTAAACATATACATTATGATAATATTTCTTTCAACAGAAGTTATGCTTGCCCCTGGAAATCATGGAAATCAACATCTATTTATGCATTTGGACGTCATGAAATTTCAAATTTAAAAACAAAAAATTTCTTCTATCTTCATGGCATAAACCTTTGTAATTTTCACTCCTCTAAAATCTGAATACCTTAAATAGAAATTTAAAATAAATGAGTCTGAAAATATCATAATAGTTTTTGTTTTCATTTCACTATTTTTAAAAACGTATTTCATAATTAATAAAATACAAATTAATTATTTATATATTTATTTCGAATAGCTAAAACAAAATTTAAAACATACTAAATTTTATGTTATCTGTAGCGTTTTGTGCAAAATTAAAAGCTAGATTTAATTATAAAACTGGCAAAGATAACTGGGCGGTACACAACATTTTGATGTCTCGGGCAGTCAGAAAGGCGAAAGCATGACAAAAAATATGGTTACAGTCGCTGACAGCACCCCATACTAGATGAAAGTTTTACAGATTTGTTACAACTAAGAAACAGAAAATATCATTGGTTATTCTGGTGGTGTCGCTGCATTGTTCCAGCAAATGAAAGTTTTTGATAAAGCTGGGAATCAATCATCCTAAATACATCGTTGTTTTATGTTAGGAAATCTGCTGAACAACATACGCATACAGTTTCAGTAAATGCCTAACCAATTTGATTTACTAATACTGTATTAAAATCCCGAGCAGGATATTTGCATTTACAATTAATGTCTTTGTAAAGAAACAGAAAGCATTTTTTATACTTTTTATTTCCATATTTTAATTTGATGCATTGCAACTGTGAGCGGAAGTATGTGAACACAATGGCAAATTAGTTTTACGCTGGCATATTCTAAATAAGGTAGAGTCCAATTTAAAAAAAACACATTCCTTAATTATTATTTCAAAATATATTCGATAACCGCAATTGAAATCTTAAATGAAAATGATCCCGTGCATTCACATTTTCAAAATTTGGAACTTTAAACTACTCTACAAGAAAACAAAAAATAAAATTATTATAGAAACCCATATTTATTATTCATACTAAACAAAATTTTTGTTGAAATTATTTGTTTCCTTAAATATACCCCCCCCCCTAAAAATCTAACCTATTCATAAATGTACATTGTTATAAATTGTAAAATGTAACTCTAAACTCAATTTTATTTAGAACTTATAAGTAATACCATTATGCTTAACTTAAAACGGAACTATAACAACAACAAAACGACACCAACATCTATATCATAACTTATGCTAGACGTAAATTTACACTAATAATAAAAAAAAATAACCAAACCCTTAATTAAAACCGTTAGCGAAAACTCAAAGTAAAATTGAAATAGTTTAATTATTTTAACTTAAACTTTATAACATTTGGTTTAAACCACATTTTGAGCTTATGAGTATGACAAAAAACAAAAAAAACGAATAATATAGCTAACTTCCAGATCATTTGATCAAGTCCTAAACCTAGGTCATAAGCTAAACATAACGTTAATTCTAAGATACATCCAAGCAAACACCTAAACCAAAATTGAAATTAAACATAAAACTAACAATACAGCAATATTCAAAAACGTGTGGTTGTCATTTGTTGATCTATCGCCCTTCAAGGGCTTGATAATGTCATGAATAATTACATCATTTTTATGGTAAAAAAGTAATAAAATGCCTAGTTTCTAAAACAAACTATTAAAATGAAAAATATTTGTGAAAAATCTGTTTACTTTTCTCTTTTATATTATGCTTTATCTCACCGATCTTTTATTTTTTTATTAATAGCAGTATCGAGTTCAAAATAAGCTATTTAACAGTAAAATGAGCTCTAATAAATATACTTGTGTATCTATAATATAAGCCACTAGGTAGTGTGTACGTCACCGGCCCGTTTGGCTATTTGTCAGAAAAAAGTAAACTTTCTGATTTATGTCATAGCAAGTTATCTATCAGATACATCCCTTTAATAAAAATAGTATACAATTCTCTGTAAATAGCGCGTTCAAATAATATACTTTTTTTGCAACTTTCTTCGTGGTTCAACCTTACCATATGTTATGGTAACACATTTCATTTGGAAACTACAATATAATAAATTGGGCATTATATGAAGCCGAAGCTACAAAATAAACATGTAGAAAGTTAAATATTGTACGTAAAATTTTAAATAATAACTTAAAAATATAATTAAAAAGTGCTAAGAATTAAACATTTCCTAGAACAGAAAAATAATTTTTATTTGAAACGTGCATCCAAAGCAAACGGAAAATGACGCAATGATAAGTATGCCTATGATAGTTTTAATACCAAAGATTTTTCTTATAATTTGTTTTAAAAATATTTTTTTAAAATAATTCTATTCATTATAAATTAGCTTTATTTAAAAATAAAATTGATCCTAAGGAGCGCTAACAAAAGCTTATTAATCGTTTAAATATTTACAACCACTCCACATGGTAAACACGCATTAATAATGATACTCATGAAATAATAGATAGAATAAACACATCGTTAAGTGCACATAAGTGCACGTATAACAAAGATAACATTTTGATTTTAAAACTGATGGGTATTTATTTTAGATTTGGTTCAATAGTTCTTACCTTAGTTGATTCTTATTTTGACGCTCTGTGATACTTCTTTTTCGTTTTCATAATTTATTCTCAATTGAGCCATATATTTAAAAAAAAAAAATTTGATATATAAATGTCACGAGATTTGTATAATGTGTTTTAATGTTATATGTATGAAAACAGTTATGGTTTTGCGGCATATTTAACTTTAACCGCCCAAAAGCATAATCCCCATAGTAGCTAAATGCTATATGTGGTATCACATATCTGTGGTGGATTAAAAAAAGCTGGTCCTATGTGCAAATATGAGCCAATAGACCCACATTTACCACTAGTGTATAGAGTTTTAAATCTTGTCCAAAAAATACAATGGGGAAATTATTACTTTTTCGTATTCAGTGTGAAAAATAATTTATGAAATTTTAAGTTTTCGCCGTTTTACACCCCCCCCCCCCCCAAAGTGATGTGTACGGAATATAAAGGACGCATTGTAGTCGTGCAAAAATATCATTTTAGATTTTTAATTATTATATATAGGAATACAGCCTTATTTTCTTGATTTTGTTACATTTTGCGTGATTCCCAATGAACAGAAGTAGTACTTTACGGTATTTCCGATTTCTCAAAAAATATTGCTTTCATGTTTCATTTTAAAGTACTATTTGTCCACTTAATCATGCTCAATTAACGAGAAAGTTTATGGGAGATCATTCCAGCTTTATTTTTCTCAGACTAACCCACCAAACTACCTGCCCTTTGTAAAGATGTAATATCGTTGTTATGCAAAGTATGATCCTTATTTGTGTATATACAAATTGTTAAATGTAATGCTCCTGATTATGTTGATTACACTGAATATCACAGGGTTAGTGTATATCGACATGGATGATTTAAGAACGTCACAGATGATGATGCTTGATAAAAGGAATTATTAATATAAGTGGGGGATGTAGGTGAATGATAAAATGAATGATTAATATTAGTAGGGGAAGTAGGTGAATGATAAAATGGATGATTAATATAAGTAGGAGAAGTAGGTGAATGATAAAATGGATGATTAATATAAGTAGGGGAAGTAGGTGAATGATAAAATGGATGATTAATATAAGTAGGGGAAGTAGGTGAATGATAAAATGGATGATTAATATAAGTATGGGAAAGTAGGTGAATGATAAAATGGATGATTAATATAAGTAGGGGAAGTAGGTGAATGATAAAATGAATGATTAATATAAGTAGGGGAAGTAGGTGAATGATAAAATGGATGATAAAAGATCGATGAGGTAGATGATTGATGAAAAAGGATGATTCAAGTCAACGTTCCATATTGCATGCAATCTGTATACTGATACAACTGGGAAGCAGAAGGAAACGTTGGAGAATGCGGTGGTGACGCATCATTTAGCCAGAGCGTCAACGTCAGAGAAAAGACCTAGTACTTTTTTATACAAAAAAATAATAAAAGGTTGTAGTCGACCGTTCACAACGCCCACTTTTGTGTGAGGCCTAGGTTGACCGTCCATATCGTCCACGTTTTAGTGACGTTGTAGTTGACCGTCCATTTCGTCCACGTTTTAGTTACGTTGTAGTTGACCGTCCATTTCGTTCACGTTTTAGTTACGTTGTAGTTGACCGTCCATTTCGTTCACGTTTTAGTGACGTTGTAATTGACCGTCCATATCGTCCACGCTTTAGTGACGATGTAGTTGACCGTCCAGGTTTTAGTTACGTTGTAGTTGACCGTCCATATCGTCCACGTTTTAGTGACGTTGTAATTGACCGTCCATACCGTCCACGTTTTAGTGACGTTGTAGTTGACCGTCCATAGCGTCCACGTTTTACCTACGTTGTAGTTGACCGTCCATACCGCTCACGTTAAAATGATTGACCTTCTGTACATCCTATGTTGGTCTTAGGTCGTGGTTGACCATTCACACCGTCCACGTTTGTTTGAGAAAGTGATAGACCGTCCATAAAGACGAAGTTTGCGTGAGGTCGTGTTCAATTGTCCAGTCAATGTTTTCTTGCAGTCGTGGATTACGGCCCTCATACCACGTTTAGTTCGGTCCTGGTTGACCGCCCATAACCTCCAAGTTGATGTGAGGTCGCATATGCCCGTCCATAACGACCACGTTTGCTCGCTATAAACACGTTCTCATGACGTCGTAGTTAACTATCAATACCGCACAAGTGGGTCAGGGGTCGTAGCTGACGCTGTAAACATGTTCTCATGACTTCGTAGTTAACTATCAATACCGCACAAGTAGGTCAACGGTCGTGGCTGACGCTGTAAACACGTTCTCATGACGTCGTAGTTACCTATCAATACCGCACAAGTATGTCAGAGGTCGTGGTTGCCTGTCCGCAACGCCCACGTTTCTCAATAACACATCAGAAGCATTCCAATACAGCTAGTAACAAACGCTTCGATTTAGATAAGTTGGAAAGCTCACAATTAAATTTTATTCCAAATAGATTTATTTTTCTTTCAACTCGCCCACGTAAATTTTAACGTAAATTTCCAACACAGGCAGTGTAGGTTTTGTCCATTAAAAGCCGCATTTGGTAACCAGTACAAACAAAGATTTGATGTATTATAATGCAAAAAGAGTTTTCCATTAGATTGTCCCAGAACATTCCGTTGGAGATGTAAACTAAAAACAGAATTAAGGTTTTTGGTTTTTAGTTCAAGCAGGGGCGTCGCAAGGGGGGGGGGGGAGCGGGGGTGCGGACCGCACCGGGTGACACCAGTTAGGCGGGTGACACCAAGAAAAAAAATAGCAAAATATATACAGCAAAATGATAATTCTACCCAATTATTCTACCCAATTGAATGATTAATTAGAGAGAGTTAAATAGTCTTTTAAGAGCACACTTAACAAATCCCGACAAGGATGTAGGGGGGGGGGGGGTGACAACATGACGTAAAATAGCTAATGATATAGAAAACATGTAACATCCAGCTGTATTTACAACAGACTATAGATAACAAATCGTTAGTATTATCTAAGCACAGTTTAAAGCAATCACCGTGGGGTGGGGGAGGGGGGGGGGGGGCGGGGTTAGATCAATTAAACGTTGCAAAATATGCCTGAGGAATACGGTTTGGTTGAGAATCGTAATAAGTTTTGTGTTAATCCATGTATGGGGTGGAGGGGGGGGGGTAAACAAAATACATAAAAAATATATATTTGAAAACATATAGGCTACACGGCATATAATCAAACTTACAAGTATATATGTAATATATACATAAAAATTATTTTTTATCTTTTTTTTTGGGTGGGTAGCCGCATTGGTGACACTCGACCTCGTTGCGCCACTTAGTTCAAGTCACCCAATATTATAATACACACACACACACACACATATATATATATATATATATATATATATATATATATATATATACATATATATATATATATATATATATATATATATATATATATATATATATATATATATATATATATATATAAGTGTGTGTGTGTGATGTGTGTGTGTTTGTTTTGAAGTTGCTGAAAAACAACTCGATTAACGGTACATCAAAGAATGCGGAGAATCAATATTAGTTTGAAGTATGTTTATATCCTAACTTCTTTCGAAATCACTGAATATTCTATTATTTAGTAATAAAGCGACAATAATTCTTAGGTTTTGACTTTGAAGTAACAGGCTTTGTTTTGCGTCAGCTTTAGGCGTGTACATGCGAACAACAGTGGCTTGTGATAGCTTCACTGATTTTGTACAAAGGAGTAGGTAATAAAATGTACACACAAACACAAGAATAACGTGGGTTTAATTGATCAATGCGTAAACGATGTTTAGAAGAAAAAAATGAGTGTATGTGGGAGTCCCTGTGGTCAATACTTTTGCGTGGGATGATACTCAGATGCCCACGCAGCGTGCGTGGGTTAAGAAAGAAGGAATAAAAGGTGGAGCCTGCATCGGTGTAGGTTGTAGTTTTGGGCAGTAGACGTGGACATCATCTTGCCTGGGTATGTCGTTTACTTCAACTTTTTTTGTTATTTTAAAAACTCCGATAGTTATTATTTTTCTATTTGATAGTTAATGGATTCACCGTTTCGAAAAGCAGTATTTTTTAATACCACAATCTCATTTTACATGTTATCCATGCTGTTTATAATTCTTATATTATTTTTCTTCTTTTATCCCACTTTTATTTCAGTTCAAGTTATAAGCCACTACCCCCTCAACCAACCACACCGAAAAAAAAAATCTTTTTAATTTATCTTAAAAAAAAAATTAATTGCACATCTGCATTTTCAGGTTAAAAATAAAATTGTCATTAGATGTTATGTACTATGTATAAGTAAAACATCTTACACGAATGAAACTACATATAAGAAAGAAGTATTACTATTGTAAATCTGTATTATCCTCACAAGCCTATGATGAAAACTATAATACTAAAGCGAACACGGCAAATGCAAACTGACGCCGGATGCAAAACACGTTTTATCTTCCGAATTCTCAAAAATATAGCAAAGTTAAAGAAAGTTCGTGTTACATTTTTACCAGCTGAAAATACAAACTTAATTAATACACACATTTAAAGTTAAATTTGCGTATAAGATAAAATGAAAAATTATTTTTTTGCAAAGTATAATATACATTGCAAAAAAAATAATTTATTTAACGTCCCCTGTATTACACACACACATATATATGTATATATATATATATATATATATATATATATATATATATATATATATATATATATATATATATATATATATATATATATATATATATATATATATATATATATATACGTCCCATGAATGTTGAGTCTGTTTACCATGCGGATGTTTACCTCACCTGTGTAGTGAGCAGTGGCGTCGCTAGGTCGGGTGTCACACGTTGCGACACCTCATGGTGTCACTCCCATTTTTTTGTGTAGGTTTTCTATTTAGTGTCACACACGCTCCTCCTCCATCCGAAAAAGCCTTCAAGTGTTCACATTTAATTCAACTGATGTTTATTTAAAGTCGATTGTTAATAAAGATGGGTGTAGTATTGTTTTCTCTATTGTTTGCATGAATACTTCGCAATCGTCATTATTTCCTTAACATTTTTTAAAACTCAGATCAACCATTAATTGAAATGGCAAAATCATTCATTCTATAAATCATGCAATTTGTCTGTCTTGGTGTCACCCCTCTAAATAATGTCACCCGGTTCGGTCCGCAGCCACCGCCCCCGCCTCGCGACGCCGCTGGTAGTAAGTTAACTAAGGTGTATTCTGTTGAGAATAATACACTACTGAAGTTAGCTCGAACTCTCCTGTTTGTTCTCAATTGTAGACAACAAGCAGTGTAACAGATATGAATGCCTTATAGACTGTACCCAATAAAGAAGATAAAATACGTCACTGTAATCAGTTGTACGAATTGATCTAATCGAGGGTTCTCTACGTGATCAGTCATAAATCGAGGCAAGGCAACCGAGTTGACAAGAATCCTTTCATCATGTTGTTGACATGCATTAAAGACGAGTTTTTGAGATTTTGCAATCAAAGCGACCGTAAAAATAATAAAAAATAAAAACTTAAGCCTAAAAATTAATAAGAAATTTAATACTTTTAGAATCACTGTTATTAAAGTTGCGAATTCAGAGAGTTTGAAAATAATTTGTTGAGTTTAAGGCTACATGTTTATTTAAGTTATAATTCGACGTTTCATTTTCGTAAGACAAACATTGATTGGCTGTACAGGAACTCCGTGATCGATTTCTGACAGCCCCGTATCATAGTTTTTTGTTTACAAAACTTTGCAGATCAAGTTTTTAAATAACAATGCAAATTTAAACCCCATGATCAAGTTTTCCTTTTTTCTTTCGCTTACAATGTGTACAATAAAATTTATGATAGCCTATCGAATAGCAGGATGCCAATGCGTATGTGGCCATTACATGTGAAAACCAAATTGTTTCTGCTTTTTTTTTCAAAATTTATTATTTAATTACCGAAAGTATTAAAAACATCAAATACATCCAATCTTTTGTAAAGTCCGAACAAAAACAGACAGACAGGATTTTATAACCATATTAATTTTAACTACGCCGTGTATGATTTAAAAAAATTTAATGGGCCTCTTGAATACTTGTGAGTACTCGGTCGCATTCATTGAAGACTTTAAGCAAGACATCAAATTCTCGGATACTGTTTTTAAAAAAGAAACATTGAACTTTGTTTTTATTCGATTTTTTTTATTAACTTTAATTATTTTTTAACGTGCATTAAACGCTATTTATTCCACTAGGAAATAAAGATTAAAGTACTCTAGACTTGATTTGAAACTACTTTCAATATGTTGGTTGTTTTCATTATGATCACGGCATTTGTGTCGTGTTCAGGTGAGTATGGTTGTCATATTATATATATATATATATATATATATATATATATATATATATATATATATATATATATATATATATATATATATATATATATATAAATAAATACATAATATGTATATATATATATATATATATATATATATATATATATATATGTATATATATATATATATATATATATATATATATATATATATATATATATATATATATATATATATATATGCTTTTCTATACTTAAAGAAACATTTTTATGTCGAGTGGTTAGAAGGTTAGAACAATCTTCATTTATGCTTATAAGAGTGTCTGCTTTTCAATTTAGGCTGTGAAAATAGTAGCATTTATCAGTTTCAACTGTGGTTAGTAGACTTACCTAATGCCGGCAATGGTTTAGTAACACACACATTGATCAGCTTCAGTAAGTTGTGTGTCACTGATGATCGATTATTTTATTCTTTATGGTGCGTGGTTTTGTTTTGTTTTCGGCTATACTAAACACACATTAAGTGTTATAAAGAGATTCGATAAAGCTAAAAATATGTCGCATTCGCTGAGCACTCGCTTAAAAGATTTATAATAACAATTTAAAAACAAGATAGTACATATGCACAAAATAAGTAATTACATTGGTATTCTCCAATTTGATAATGTATTTGTATATATATATATATATATATATATATATATATATATACATATATATATGTATAATGGCTTAGGTCGCTATCTGAGAATCCGTTTAAATATCAGCACGGCCTATCAATCTACTCTACCCACTGTTCCTAGATATCAAACCTACAATTTTCGGTTAAATGGAACTCAAGTTACTTAAATGTAAATAATTTCGGCACTAAATTTCTTGGATCTTAGTTGTTGTGGTGTAGGTTCGTCCATACCACCGCCTAAATTCCTCTGGATGTGTCGTACGATAATGTTGATCACCCTCCTCAAAAGTGATTGACGTCGCACCTTAGCAACCTTCCTAGTGTCATAGGGCGTCGCGGGACGCTTTTGGATGCCATTTAAAATTCATTTTTCGACAGTATCTTTCAGTTAAGATGCGGACATATTATTGTTTTTTTTTAATGACTGCTATTTTTCAGCTCAAGTACAGTGTCCAGACAATACATACCAAATCTACAATGGACAATGCTATCACCTTGGTTCGTATTTTGGTAACTGGAGTACTGCGCAGGACATTTGCGCCTCCTACGGCCTGTCAGTGATGAGTTTTAGATCAATGGCTGACATATCAGCTTTTGTCAACTCTGATACCTCTATACTCTGGGTCGGCGCCACAGACATCGCAAACGAAGGGCAGTTTGTTTGGGACGACACACGTGAACCAATCACTGTGGACTTTCAGAACATCGTTGACATGACTACAAATACAGATAGTAATGATTGCCTGGTGGCTAGATATATGAATACTCCACCTAATAGAGTCTATGCTACTGATTGTGGAACTACATCCGCTGCTTCATATTGTATGGGACCACTTAATTCTGAAGGTTAGTCGAAAAACAAGTAGATACATATCAAAACAGTGGAAATTGGGTTCCTGACACAATAATAAAAATATTGGTAAAATAATATTTTTTAAGCTAAAATAATTAATATACTCGATTATCGGTTATTTTAAAATAGGTTTTGATAAACTTTCAGCATGTGTTTTGAAATTAAATTAAGCAAATCTACACATTGTTTACATAGCTTTATACATTCTCAATGCATATAATTAACCGAATAAGTTTGAAATGGATACATACACATGAAATATTGGATTTGTATATTCGTTTTTTTTTAGTTCTGTATATGTTATGAAATTTAGAATTTGAACTAAAGCATAAAAGCTCTAGCTTACAATAATAACGGTGTTAATTGAAACTATTTTGTTATTGTTTCAAAGAAACTACCACACCACAAGACACTACCAGCACCACCAGGAGGACAAGTAAGTTTTCAAATAGTTCGATTACATTCAGTGAATTTTCAATAACTTTAGGTGTTAATTTCTAATATTACAACCGGAATAGTTTTCAACATCTAACATTAATCACATTGCATTGAACTTTAGAAAAACCATGCAAGAAAGGCTAGGGAGACTACCACTGAGGTATGTTGAAATCCAGTACAGAGCAGTTTTTGTTTTCAAATATTTAAATTAGTAACTGTGATTTGAGTTTGGGGCAACCGTGAGATTATTATTAAAATTAAATCATATAGTTTGTTTTTCATAATGTGCTTCTTGAATTTATTTCAAATGTTGTCTGCAACAATAATTTTTATTTACTATTTCACTGGTATCAAAATAATTTTAATTTTTTTAAAGTTGAACCTACTTGTATTAATACAACATTGTAATTAATGCTATTGTATCTGTTATTTAAAATTTTTAAACTATTTTTCAAACATAAAATATATAACTAGTCAATAAACAAATGTAAAATTATTATTTTATGATATTTCTTCCAAAAGAATGTGTGCTTGCCCTGGAAATCATTGGAATCAACATTTATTTAACTATGAAGTTGGACGACATGAAATTTAATATTTTTAAAACTTTTCTTTTTTCATCAGGGCATAAGCATACCTTTGTAATTTTCAATTCTTTTAAGTAAAATGTGATTACCTTAAAAATCTATATTTTAAAAATTCTGTGTTAATAGAAAAATGAGTCCATTAAATAAAGTTTTTCGAAACCAATAATAGATATTGTTTGTTTTTAAATATACTGTTATTTTAAAAAGAAAAGAAATTTTAATTTACAAAACATAAGCTATATTATATAACATATATATATATATATATATATATATATATATATATATATATATATATATATATATATATATATATATATATATATATATATGTTTTAATAAAATATTATAAAAAAACAAAATTTACTAAACAGTTATGTTTACCGTAGCGCTGTAAGAAAAACAAATGGTCATTGAATTATCAGCCCATGATATGTCTTACAACTGGGAATGAGAAGGGGGTGTTAAACAACGTGGGCTGATGCAAAGATCTGAGGAACAGCCAATGAGTATGTGAAAAAGCCTTAGATAATTTATTTATGGAACTTGCAGAATACGTCCATACTCCTTAATGGCCACAATAAAGTTATAGCTACGTTAGACGGGAACTATGACGGAAAAGATGAGCTAGAGCTTGAAGAGACTTCTAATTCTAAAGTCAACAGACATATTTTTGAAAATATTTGTTAATTTAGCTAAACTTTAGACAAAATCTAATGTTACATAGCATGTTCTATCATCTGAGAAAGTAAATTATCTTTAAAATTCTAGAAGTTATTTTTTGTGTATTTTATTAATTTTATATTAATAAGAAAAAATTCACTAATTGGGTAATGTTAGATGAGTTTAAATAAAATTTATTTCAAGTAAAATAACTCGATAATTATTACCAGTAAATGATATCAGTAGATAAAATACGTTTATATTATGGAAATAATTTTAGCTACAACGTATTTATTCACACAACTTATACAAAATATACAAAGTATATAATTAGCAAATTGAAATTTATTTTTCTAGACAGATCAGAACTCAACTAAACACATTGGCTCTTTAAATTGTTAATATTGTAATGGCCAGTGTGGCCGAACGATTAATATGCTTTATCAGGCGTTGAAAATTCGCGGTCAATTGCCATTGCTGGTCGAACCAATTGTCACCCCTAACTAACAACAGATGGCACTGCATGCACGTCAAGAACCATACCCTATCCACTTATTTAGTGGTCATTCATTTATGACGCCCGCAAAATTTGTAAAGGTTGATACATCTTCTCTGTCCACTCACACACACATATACACACATATACACACATAAACACACACATACACACACAGACACACACACGCGCGCACACACATCACACATATACACACACACATACACACACATACACACACAGACACAGACACACACACACGCGCGCGCACCCACACACACACATACACACAGGCACACACACAGACACACACAGAGACACACACACACGCGCACGCACACACGCACACACACACACAAACACCCACACACACATACAAAATACTCACACACACACACTCACTCACACACACAATAGTCGGATATGTGCCAGTTTCTCTCCCCCATTGTGTGTTTATCCCTAATTATCTATGTCTCCAAGCAAATAACAAGTTAATTAACTAATGTATCACGAGATTATCACGAGGTGATCACCAAAAGATACTAATATCTCACATTATCATAGGCATAATAAATCTGTGTGAGCTATAAATCAATTTACTTAGTACCAGTTACATAAAAATATTACATTCTTAAATTTAACTCCTAAACATAATGCAAAGCTTCACTTCATACCTTTCGTAGTAGTGTAGCTTTGAGCAAAAACGGCCATGCATTTTGTATTGATTGCTAAGGTTAGCCTATGATGCCACTTTTATGAATGTTTTCAAATTAGTGTTTATTGCACAGGCCGAACATTTCTTATTGTCGGTGTCCACCTCTCTAGGTAATTTAACGAAATGCTGATTAGAAATTTCACTTGCTGTCTTTTTAAGCCCACAAAGACAGAAATAGAGAACAAATTGAAATATAGAGAATGAGACAACTAGAGAGAGATAGAATCTCTCATTTTAATATACAATTGTATAAAGAGAAACTGGCTAACGGTTTTAAAATTTAAAAAATACCGGGAGTGAACTCCCCAAAACTTTTTCGAATATTCTTAAATTTTAAAAAAACGGGAGTGATCTCCCCTAAACTTTCTCGAATATTCTAATATAAAACTACGAGGGATGGCAACTCAGGACATAGACAATATTTGTAATCCATTTTTAATTACTTAAACTTTTTATAATAGAACTAGACTTCCGCGTCATACATTGGATGACTGTGGGTTTCGGGGGTAATCCATAAATGACATCACGGCTATGACATCACAAAATAACCAGACCCCCACATTCAAAAAGACGTTTTGATCTTTTAAAAGCACCGATTTTGGTTGAGCATGGGCCTGACCACACTATACCTTCATATACTGACGTTACAGGTGACCTTTTAAAAGTTCTATTAATTTTAATGACACCGACTTCAAAATTTAGCCTTCATTCTCCAAAGCAAATTTTAAAATGCTTTTCTTGTATATCTAGCCCAGGCCACCTATAGCATGTTTATATAACGTGAAAACCCGCCATTTTGCTCGTGGTAAACATGGCTTAAAAATGGTCGGAAGTCATGCGTCCGGTCCAGGCGCCGTTGTTAGCAACCGACCACGCCTCCAAGTTAGCGAGTAATCCTACTATATCTAGATCTAGAAACTAGATCTAGATAGATAAATCCCATGTATTCTCGAATAAGATGTTCATTGAAGCTAAAAAAAGATATATATATATATAAAATTAAGGCCTGAAATAGATTCTAGATATAGAATTAACGTTAAGTCTTCTGACCTAGAATCTAGATTTAGATCTAAATCTAGAATTCTAGATTCATAACTTTTTCTTCCTTCGACAGCTGATCCGTAGATCTAGAGAAATGTATTGTATTATAAAATAAAAATAAGTGTTAAAACTTTGATAATAGTGTTGAAACGTAATAAATACAGCAAACGGACGTATTGTTAAAGTTATAGCCGACAGAAAATTAGTTTTAGAACGCGTTAAACTTTTGAATGGGTCACAAAGTCTATGATGGAAGCCGCCATTTAATTGTACAAAAAAGTAAACAAATTATGTGACGTCACTATTTAGTCAAAATAAAGCCATTGTTTGAAAATTTTAAAATTAATGTGGTTAATCTACCTATGAATAAATCAATACATTTATTAACGTCTTTAAATAAATTTGTGATTAACAGTCTGTCTGAAAACAAAAATTGTTCTCTACCTACATACTATTTTACAGCTCTACACCTAGCGCCGATTCTCTGCAGTATTCAATCAGCCAAACAAACAAACAAACAAAAAAACAAATAAATATTCAAACATGTAAACAAACTTGACTTTTAGTAGTATATAGATAGATAGATGGAATCTCGTAAAAAAAGAATTGCACACCAAGTGAACGCCTAAAAATGTGCATAATAGTGCGCAATATTATGAGTACTTTATAAATTTACATGCGTTTTTTTAGAAATATTAAATAGCGTAAATTACTACTTCCGGTCAACGGAAATTACTCAAAATTTGATAGAAGGTAGAGAATTAGACATTTTACTTACATGTGAAATTACATTTATCTATCTGAAATAGTACTCAAATTATAGGCTTTTTAAAAATTCATAATAGGAAAAGTACCACTTCCAGTTATCGGAAATCGCTCAAAAGTTGATCAGGATCTACGATTTTAATAAAATACTTATATATGAAATGTCATCAACCTAGCTGTAACGGTACTCAAGTTATCGTGTTTACACACAGACAGACAGACACACTGACAGACACACAGACATACGGACAAGATTGCAAAATTATGTTTTTCCGTATCAGTGAGGAGTAAAACGTCGAGATTTGTAAAAATCTCGATTTTTTTTTTGCACGATGACAAGACTTATTCTATACTTCGTCTATACGAGAAAGTAAAAATTTGTTACTCTTAGATATCGACTCGAAACACTCCCCGTGAAATCATATAATCTGATAGTTAACTTTTTAACACTTTGATAAAGCTCTAGCTCATGTATCGTTACGCGAAATTCAAAAGAATGGAAGCAGTTGCATCTTTCTCAACGGCGGCGTCAACATGGCTATTACCAGGATATGTCATCGTATGTGCTCCTATGTTGTTAAAGATAAATTGTTTTCAACCCTTGTTTTGCTGTTTAACACTTACTTTCATGTGCAAAACGTGGTAAAAGCATTCAAAAGGTTTTGGATCTTAAACTGTAAAAAATATTTTAAAAAAAAAACGGAGCATAACCCCTTAACGAGCTGATTGGCACATATTTGAAGTTAATCCTCAAATGAATCTGCGCTGACTACAGCGGCATCTATTGAAGTATCTTGCACGAACATCTTGCTCCAACCTGCGTTGATGTGCGTCGCAAGATCATTTATGCATTTAAAAAAAAAGTAAAGGACCTTGGATTGAGCCCTGGACACCCCATGTTAACATATTTAAGTGAAGAGATGGTATTAAGGTAAAACACGCATTGAGATCTGTAAGATAAAAAGAAGTGAAGTAACCAAACTGTAGTTTTGTGGAAAAATGGAATACAAATCCTCTCTCTAAGGCTATCTACTTCCCTATATTTCCCTTTTCTTTCTCTGTCGTCAATAGTTAGGCCTTTTGCTAAAAACTTTAAAACGTGTGAGAAACGTGGGAGCTTGCAACATGCTTAATTTGGAAATAAATGTATTTGTCAAATTTAGTGCAGATTGGTTATAATAGCTTATTAATACGGGCTTCATGGGCGCACGTTTACACGATAACAATCTCGAATGTTACAGCTCAGCAAGTATACATAATACCCATAGTTTTTTTTTAAATTTTATTTTGTTATTTAAAAATTATATTGCACGTGCTAGTTTTCGAGTCAGCTCATACAGGAAAACTGAATTTAAAATACGCGTGGGTCTCTACTTTGTTAAATGTTAAGTTTATAGAAGTTATTGGTTTGACGCTATCTCGAATTAATTATACGTCTACGTTAGGTGCCTGTTGTACTCTGGGTCTGGGTCTAAGTCCAGGATCAGGCTCAGGTCTAGGTCTAGTTCTAGGTCTAGGTCTAGGTCTAGGTCTAGTTCTAGGTCTAGGTCTAGGTCTAGGTCTAGGTCTAGGTCTAGGTCTAGGTCTAGGTCTAGGTCTAGGTCTAGGTCTAGGTCTAGGTCTAGGTCTAGGTCTAGGTCTAGGTCTAGGTCTAGGTCTAGGTCTAGACATAATGATAAAAACAAAAAATCTTTTAAAATAAATTGTGGTATTGCGAATACCGACGGAGTTATAACCGTCGACTGTGTTCTCGCGTGGATGTACGCCCACAAACCCGTATTAGTAAATTGTCAAAGCCAAAACGCCAATCTAAAACGAGACGAGAATGCCACATAAGTAATTAAAAGCAAATACACATCGAAATAAATTACGCTAAAAACTCCCACATCTTCCATATATTTTAAAGCCATTTTTGCATAGCCACATGACTACAATGACACAAAGATAGTATCAGAGAAAAACTGGAAATCTAGAGAATGAGACAACCAGAGAGAGACATCATCTACCACTGTAATATACAAGGTTAACACAATACGGATTAAACTGCTCAGTAGTATTTCTTCCAATAGCCAGTCAGGCTTTGACGTAACGAACTCCAACCAACTGGCTTAGAAGTTGCCAGTTTGATACGCTACATGTTGGTCGTTTTTCATTCGTAGGTTCTCACCATCCTTGCCTAAGTTCCACCTAGGTCCTTCCAGCTGGTACTCAGCATGACTGTGGGGTTGGGGACACGTTCAAAACCCGAGAGTGCAAGGAAGGCAACCCCCCACTCAACCACACACTGCCATATCGGGCACTGTTGCTGTCGCGAGGGAGCACGGATTATAGCTACACTGAAACTACCTTCTGGCGTGTTCTTAACCGTGGCGGTCATAGGCGTTACTTCCCCTAGACCAGTGGTTCCCAACCTTTTTCGAGTGGCGACCCCTTTTATAAAAAGTAAGTGACCCGCGACCCCCATAGAATTAAAAAGCCGAAATTAGTATGGAAATGAGTAAGCACTAAAATAAGATTTTCTAGTACACTTTCAATATGAACTACTCTTGATAACTGTTTTAATAGCATGAGTATAATTGCATACTATTCACTAAACCTTCGTGGTTAAGTTTTTAATTAAAAACATTTTTTGTTAACGCCAACCTATGTCATTATAATTATCTTAATTTTGTTTTTAATCGAAGAATAGTGTTGAAAATATATTATCGAAAAGTCAGTCAATTTTACGTTTGGGTATGAATGGTGAATACCAAAATTGTGTCTGCAGTTTTTCATCTTACTCGGAATCATTCTGCAAATAAAAGAATTCATCTTGTAATTCATCGGGAATGCTGGCAACATCAAGGGAAGAAGAGAATGGGTAATGCGTAAATGCAGACTCTTCTTTTTTCAGCTCAGTGAAATAGCGATACAGTTCGTTTTCAAGAGATTCAAGTTTTATCATAATTATAATTTTTTAATGTTTCAAAAAATGCGAATCTGGGATGATGCAATAAAATTATAATTTTTTAATTTTTCGAAAAATGCGAATCCGTGATGATGCAATGAAAAAACCATCGGTGCCAACTTTTTACTTTCTCGTGTATACGAAGTATAGAGAAAGTATTGTAATCGTGCACAAAAATCACTTGAAACTATTTTCACCGTATTACACCTCAGTACTTCATCACATCCGAAGTATAGAGGACTTATTTTAATCGGGCAAAAATTATCAATCCAGATTTACCAAAATTAAGAGGTTTTATGCGTAATCCAGTCTGAAAAACTGGGCTTTACAATTCTGTCCGTATGTCTGTGTGTCTGTCTGTCTGTCCGTGTGTAAACACGATAACTTGAGTACCGTTACAGCTAGATTTATGAAATTTCATATATAAGTATTTTATCAAAATCGTAGATGCGTATCAACTTTTGAGCAATTTCCGATAACCGGAAGTGGTATTTTTTCTACTTTGAATTTTTCAAAAGCCTATAACTTGAGTACTATTTCAGATAGATAAATGAAATTTCCCTTGTAAGTCAAAGATCTAATTCTCTACCTTCTGTTAAATTTTGAGTTATTTCCGTTGATCGGAAGTAATAATTTACGCTACTTCCGATTTCTCAAAAAACTAATGTAAATTTTTAAAGTAATAATAATATTGCGCACTATTATGCACTTTTTTATTTGGCGTTCACTTGGTGTGCAATTCTTTTGTCTACGAGATTTTATTCTATTTTTAAAACTTTAAGTATTTAAAATGGATTAAAAATCATGTCTATAGCCCGAGTTCCCACCCCCTGTTGTTTTATATAAGAATATTCGAGAAAGTTTAGGGGAGATGACTCCCGGTTTATTTACTTGCGTAAGATTGACTTGAATGACGAAGGTCCAAGCTGTTTTAGCCACGCCCACACATTTTTAAAAGGCCATATCTTAGCTTCTAATTAAGCTAGAGACACAAAATTGGTGTCAATGTGTAGGGAAAAAAATCCTGTTTTTTTTTTTTGTGGTATAATTTTATTTGAAATTAGTGGAGTTTAAAAATTACGAGCAACAGCCTATTCAAGATGCCCAGAAATCGCTTCTTTCAAAATGTTAGTTATCTCACACTCAGATTCATCTACCACACCGCAGAGTTTCTCAAATTTACAATATTTCCAAGACTTGTTTTCTTTACCGATTTTGCAGCTTTGATAAAAATGCCCCGAGATTATCATGGAAAGTTATAATATTCGTTCATTTTCCCTGAAGCTTCAGGTTAAGCTTATCTTGATGTTCGAACATATCTGCTAGGTATGATACTCTCTCCAACCACTCTATGTCGTTTTAAGTATACCAAAAAGTCTTGTTTCCTTTGCACTCCCAAGAACAATTTGATTTCAGATTTTAAATCAAAAACACAATTTACAACATATCGTTTGACAGCCAGCGTACTGTAGTGTAGAAGAGCAGAACCTCGTGATCTATATGAATGTTTTTGCTCAGTTCTTTCTTTGAAGGCTCCAGATTTTATATAATTTACTACTTATACTAGCAATGGACTCTTGATGTCGATTGGTTAGGGCAGTGCTTAGGGAGCTAAATCTTTCTGTGTTCTGAAAGCCCGATTTTGAGCTAAACATAGATGGCGCACCATCCGTACAAACCCCCACAGCCGTTGTAACCCATTTTAATCATCCAGTTTAAAAAAAGGTATTTATTTTCTCCATGCTATCTTCACAAAAGAGTAACTTTTCTTTGCTATCATCCGCATGAATATAGACACAGACCAGCAACTGCGAACACGAACTCACGTCTGTTGATTTATCAACTTAAAAAGCAAACAATGGTGAAAGCTTAATTTCAATAAAAATGTGTTATTTAACATTTACGTACATGCAGCGTTTGATGAGATTTTCTCCTATTGTTTTTTTTTTTTGCTTGGCATTTTCTATCGCGACTTCATTTGATGCTTGCACTAATGCTGGTGAAAACTTCCTGTTCGATCAAGTTTCTGGCGTTTGCAACTAGCTTCGTACCTACGAAAGAACTCCATATATTTTTTGGCGTGTTCCGAATGACTCGTCTCAAATGACGTTTTAGTTTTGAATATATCATAGATTCGTGACTGAGAACAACTTTGTACAATGCGCTTTGTTTCTTCTCTATTACATTTCCAGTGATGTTAATGAAGCCGAATTAAAAAAAATTCTTCTAAATATTTATGTTTTGTTTCAAATTACTAAGGTTTAGTATACCAGTTGGCGACCCCCCAGAAAGACCTTCAGGTTGGGAACCCGTGCCCTAGACTACATCGTACTATCCGCACTGGGAGGTGTACCTTATCTAACCCCGCAAAGGGCACTCGAGCGTTGTACCGTGAAGCGCAGTCTAGGCGTTTAGGTCACAAGTCATGGACGTCTAAAACTTGCAAGACTGCAATGCGGTAGGTAAGAGACAGACCGACTAGCCAACAGACAGACAGACAATCATACAGACAGACAGTTTGATGAAGGACAAGTTGTCGATCGTGTTGTAGTGGTGTAAATTTTGGGTTATGCACGGTCAAGCTAAGTATCAGGCCGTAAGACAAGGGTTCTCGCACCTTGTGGGAGTGAAGACAAGTCTCTCAAAAAACCAAGGGATATTACAGACCAACATGTAGTGTTCAAACCGGCATCTTCGTGGACTCTTCCAGCACACACAAAAGCAATTAGTCGGAGTTCGCTACCTTGTAGCCTGCCCGGCTAATGGGTGTGATAGTCCTGAGCAGGTATATCCGTATTATGAAAAAATGTTTAGTGTTAGATGAACGACAAGTTGTCAATCGTGTTATTTGGGTAAATTTTAGGTTTTGCATATAAGATGTAATTTCAGGTGTTGTGTTGTGATTTGGGCGTATTCGACTAATGGTTAGGATATAGCTTGTATAGTGGTTCGTGCACTTTTTCTTTCTGTTTTTATGTCCCATTAATTTATACCAACTATCTTTTTGTGTAAAAATATTATTTTATGATAAGTGAATGGAGGAAGAAAATCCATACATTAGTATTAGTATTCGAAAATGAAACAATACTCAAACATTTCTATTATTCCAGTTTATTTTTTCCTAAAGGTTAAACTTCTTTCGTTAGGATTACATAACTTGAAGAAACATTCCGTCTGTGTTAATTCGATATTTTTGTTTAATGTTAAATTGAAGTTAGACGGAAGTCTTTAAGCCCCAGCTCATCGTGCAGCCGCCCCAAGTGTCGTCTGTATGGTCACGATAATACTGAGTCCACGTGTTTGCAATGACGCACTGGTTTAAAGGCGCGCCTCCACATTGACCAGCGAACCCTTCTGCTGCCCAGTTGTAGCACATGTGGACACCTTTTGCCCAGAGTGGGGCGTTGTTAGGGACTTTAATCATCCATCGCATTTGACATCCACCATTGCGATTTCCTGTGTCATCAAAATATTCGGTAGTATATTGGTTGATCGGAGCGCAATAAGTTTTACCCGCATCACCTCCACACTGATTAGCGTCGCCATCTGCGTACCACTGATAGCACATCTGTACTTGATTCATCCATTCCGGCGCATTGTTCACAGATGAAAAGATCGCCCATCTCATCTTACAGCCACCAATCCTCCAATCTGTCCAGTCGTGGTAGAGTTCGGTCATTTGGTTGACTTTAGCACACAGGTATTCAGGAGTATAGCCACCCCCGTAACACTGAGTCGCGTCATTTGTTCCCCACCAATGCATACAGAGCTTGGTGTTGGTTAAAAACCAAGGAGGAATATTGACATATTCTTCAACATCCCTAGATAAAGCATCAACGGCACTTTCACTGACTTCCTTGCTGTTCTTAAGATCTTGGAGTCGGCTCAAGAATGCGGTGGTTATTGTATTATCAAGTTTGGCTCTAGCTCCGTTAATGATGGATTCCAGTTCGCCAAGGTAGCTCCTTATCATATAATTTTTGACGGCTTTTTCCATGGATGCCTTCTTTGTTGTGTCTGTAATCAGGTCACTGATGGGCTTCAACACACTAGAATAAAGCCATGGGTCATTTTCTACAGTCGGCTGCCATTGTGAGAAACCATCCGCTTTGTTGAGGAGATTCGTGTCGCCACCATAGTATTTAATTGTTTGTTTTGAGTTAGATTTAAACGTTTCGTCAATTTTTACATTGGAGCTTGAGCCCCCAGCACTCACAGACACCATTTGCATGTAGGACGCTTTGGCGTTGGCCTCGATATCGACTTCAGATTTGGTTGAAAAATATTCTTTCGTTATCTCAAACAACATACGGACGTAACCACCAAAGCTAGCAGTTGAAAAGTAATGCGTGCCGTAAGTCTCAATAAATTTGTTATAAACGTTAGGATTACTGTCATAGGTCCCAGTCAGCGTCGTGTCAATGTAGGTTTTAGCATAGTTGTCTAGCGCCAAGTTTTGTGGTGGGTTGACGTTTACACGTGTTTGCCCGGCAAATGACGTAACGTCAGATAAGTATCTGGAGCTGTTAGTGATAGAAGTTTGCATCTTCTTGTAGGAAAAACTTGCCGAGAAAGCGTATTTTTTCGCGTTTACCTCTAGTCCAGCATTAGCACCCATGGAATCTCTGACTTCATTGTAGGACGTATAGGTGCTGACTTCAGATGACAAATATCCTCCAGGGACAGAATCGATTTGCCAAATCTGCTCAGATAATACGTACAAAAATAAATCATTTCCATTTTATCATTAATAATTTGGGTCTTATGACCATTACCGCAGTATGTAAAACAATTTCATAGCCAGCTATTTAATTATAATAAAATAATATATAGTAAAGTTTCCCTTTCAAACCTGACGGTCTATGGGGCAAGTGAAGTAGAGTTCACTTGTTTCTGTGACCTCGGCATATGAAGAGATAGTGTGGTCAGCACTATGCCCAGCCGCCTTTACTTTCCCTAACATAAGTTAGGTACCCATCAGAGTTGGGTGGACTCAGGGACGGTCTACTGACTTGAACCCGGATTCGAACTCGAGACTTACGGGTTAGCAGTCCAGCTCTCTACCGCTAGACCACTCCGTCCCAAAATAATATATACCGTTTTTGTATTTTTTTCGAAAGTGACCAAAGCGTCAGTGACGAAATCGTATATTTTTTTTTCGTTATTTTGAAAATTTGGAGTTTAGTCAGGGGGCTTATGCTAGCGTTCTGTAAAACGCATTTAGTTTAGCATTCCTTCCAAAATTTTAAAAATTAATTTTCTGTATAGTCAACACTAATAAAATGAGTTTGTTGACAATTTAATATTTTTAAAAAAATGTACAATTGCATAATGTAGTTGCAGAAATAAAACAGTAAAAATCTCGATTAAAAATATAATTCATTTTTAAGTTCTGCAAGTAAATAGTGAGTTTTGGCCATAATATTATTTTTTGCATGGCTTACTTGATCAGGCATGTCGTAAGTTTTGCCTTTAGGACTCCTCCATGTTTTGCCTTGGTCGCATGTCAGTTGAAAGATGGGACTCTTGATCCCGTCATTACCGGAAAAGTCGATGGGCAAAAGGTCAAATCTCGTGATGTCAGCACCCTTGGTTATTTTCGACAGTCCAGGAAGTAAGTTGGTGCATTGTTTAGCCGCTTCAAGCGACAACACTACAGCAAACAATATCAGGAAGTGCTTATACATCACTGTAAGCTGTAAAACATAAATAGGAGAAGTAGAAGAAAAAGCTACAAAGAAACACTTTTTCCACTTTAATGTACATTGTTGTATTTTTCTTTAGAGCAAAATCTCTTGATTATTCTGATGTTTAGAATAAGTAGGCTTTCAAAGATGAACAAATATTGTTTTTGTGTGAGCGATTGTTACATTTTCACCTTTCGTGTCATGATTTCCTAATCTAAAATACTCCTTTAAATATTGTTCAATCACCTAAACCTTTAATAGAAGAACTATATTTGTATGTGCTTATTTTTTAAAGGCCTCGAAAGATGAATTTTATTTCGATCAGAAATCATGTGAGAATGAAGCATTCAAACCTTATGTTGGGCATACCTAGAATAATCTTTACAAAATTATGTTCGTGTTTTAACATATAATCAAATGTGTCCATAACTGTTTTTTTACATAATAAAAAGGATTTTTAGTATCTTGGTGTTACACATACCCCTCAGAATGTTTTTACAAGGGTACGAACAATACAAGTACTGTATGTAGGATATATATATATATATATATATATATATATATATATATATATATATATATATATATATATATATATATATATATAAGTAAAGGAAAGAATCCTCTTCAGTTAATATGTTTCTTGGCTTCGACATATGAAGGGAAGTTATGGTCTGCACTTTGCCAGGTCGAATTTACTTTCATAAAATGAGTTAGGTACCTATCAGAGCTGGTTGCACTCAAGGACATTCTACTGACTTGTACCTGGATTCGAGCAAGAGTCTTTCGGTTTAGGCTAGGACATGCGGTCAAATTTAGCATTATAAATATAGATTACATATTTGATAATAAATTAAAAACAAAAGCATTTTTTAGAGACCAAATGGCAATGAAGAAAATGTAGACTTAAGACTACCAGGGGATAAGAGAGAAAAATTAAAACGGAAGTTCAAACCCGAATAACGAATCCTAATCTGTTATCAAATAAGCTTTTTTGGCAAAATTATTTTTATTGCCTTGGTGTCCTCCCCCACCACTCCCCCCACACCCCCACACCCTTACTGAATGTTGTCACAAGGTTCGGACCGCACTCTGCAAATAATGATACTGCCACTGTCTACAAAAATTGAAGTTAATTAAACAACAAAAATGTCTTGTAAATAATTTAAGTTTTAACGACGTCGTAATTAGCATTTTAGTTTGTGATATTTTAAATGACGCTTAACTAACATATAGGTTAATACAAATATAACTACTGTTCTCAACACAAAGTAATAAACACTTAGACACTTAGAATCTACTAACCATTAGTCCTCTAAAAATGAACATGATTAGAAACAACTGAAAACATTAAAACATCTGACATTCGTCTGAAAACATATGAAGAACGTAAGGTTAAAATATAATGAATATACTATACGCAACGTAACAAGTTGAAATCTTGTCAACACGAGGGAAATGATGTCTGCCGATATTCAGACTATAGAAAAACAAAGTAACAACTGAAAACATTAAAACATCTGAAATTCGTCTGAAAACATAACATATGAAGAACGTAAGGTTAAAATAAAATGAATGTGCTGTACGCAACGTAGGCCTACCCAGTTGAAATCTTGTCACCACAAGGGAAATGATGTCTGCCGATATTTAGACTATAGAAAAATAAAGTAACAACTGAAAACATTAAAACATCTGACATTCGTCTGAAAACATAACATATGAAGAACGTAAGGTTAAAATAAATTGAATGTGCTGTACGCAACGTACCCAGTTGAAATCTTGTCACCACAAGGGAAGTGATGTCTGCCGATATTCAGACTATAGAAAAATACAGGTCTTTATATATGATTCAATGCTGTTAATTATGTTAATTTTATCTTAAAATAATACGAATAGACGTTCCGCCGCAATGAAATTTTAGAGACATGTTTCAGAGATTAAAGCCAATTCTATTATACTTTTGTCTAACTCGACTCAACCGTATTAGAATTTCGCAACAGATCGGGGTGTTGAGATACATTAGTTTGATAAAACATTTTATTTTATGCATACCAGCAGACATTTTACATTTTAAAATGGTATCGCATGAAGCGTATTAAGGCGACCCGTATGAATAACTTAGCTATTGCTTTTGTACGGAAACGTTGAACACGTTCACACGAATGTCCAACCGTATTCTACCAATTACCGTAAGCGCTAAAATTAGAAACGAATTTAAAATAATCACTAATTGCCACGTGAGCTTAATGTTCTAAACTTTTTCTCATATTACCGTTCTAATAAAATCTATAAAGTTTAATGTGCTTAGAATTAGAACAATATAAGTATGTCGTCAATGTAGCTAAACGTTCTTTTTTATAAAATACTTTTACAGATTATAATAATTAAAAGAAATATGAATAGAAACTCACATTAATGATTGGTAAGTTGCAATATATTTTTCTCGATTAAATAAACAAAAACACCTGGGTTCCGTTAGGAAAACAGCCTATGGTCAGTTAATTTAAAAGCTTCGAAAAAAAAAACAAGTTTATATTCATCAGGACCCTGCTAAGAGAAAAACGTAGTTACTGACACCTGTCACACTACTATTGCTTTTGTTGGGGAATGATTTACATTGTATCCGAGCAGTACATTTTTTGGAAGAGAAATCCAGCTTGAACCCGACTTCGGAATTTATCATTGGTTTTGTCAAATCTAAGCGAACATTCTTTTTCTTTAATATACGTCTCTGTAGTATTAAGGGGGAAGGCTCCGGTAAAAAAAACTGTCCGTTCAAAACACTTAATTTTGGGGAATTTTGGGGCATTAAAACTAGTGTTTTTAATGGACCCACAATTTGAAAATTCATAAAAAATTAATTTGAAGATAATTTTTAGCTGAGTGTCCCAAAATATGGAAGAAGATTATGACTTAATTGTTTATTGGGCTTAAAATGTAATATTTTATGAATGGTGGAAAACCTACGAAGGGATTAATTTTTCCAAATGGCCGCCGTTGTCATAGTTACCAAGATTTTTTCACCAATTTTTTTAGTGGAAAAGCATATGCGGATGTATCTTAATAAAGCTGTAAAGAAAAAGTTGTTTTCTAACCAGTATTAAAAAAGATTTTTTACCGGAGCCTTCCCCTTAAATGACATAGTGAAATAGGCTACGCCGTTACTAAATGTCTCTTTCATTCTCTATTATTTTTCTCACTCAGTGGCTGTTTCTCTCAAGTGGCAATTGTGAACTACGTGACTGGTGTAAGCGCTTTCAACATGTTGCAGTTCGTAATAGGTTTAATTGGGTATGATTTTTATGCGCGTTTTCAATGCATTTCAGCGCAAAAATATGTGTCAATGTGTTTTAACATAGCCCACCTAGTTGACTGTAAAGCGTTAAAAATGATTAAATATTACAAATCTGCTGGTGTTCACTCTTGTGTTTTATTGGCGACAGGACAAGGGATCTCAGGACAAACGAACTTAGACCAAGTATCCCAGAAGAATATCTCATTAACAAATGATATGAGGACAAATTATCTTATGAAAAATGATCTCAAAGACAAATGAAATAACACAGAAAAGATTTCCTAGCATATGACTAATTCGTGTATCAGGTGATAGCACGTGTTTTTCGTGACCCTGCATAATCGGTGTCTGATTACAAAATACGCTTTGGTTGAGCTGAACAGTAGAATAATTAAATCAGATATTATCTCTGCACAATGTTTCTGTAATGTAGTTTCACTGCAACATCGGCAAGAATAACTCAAGCGTAGCAACAACAGCACTGCCCCATGTGATGTGGCAGATGTCTTCCATCACACTGAATATCTGCTGAAATTTATTTTTAACAGAATTACTCAAAAGGGCACGGAGTGTAAAAGTTGAATCGAATTTAGCAATTTATTCTAAGCATTCTGATTGTAAACGGCAAAGTATAGAAAAACAATATTCCATTTTTACTTTCTCGTATACGAAGTATAAAGAAGATAATGTAATCGTATTAGGGTGTTGAAGTGGAGTCCAAATGGAATCTTGCCGGTTGGCGTTTTTTAAAACCAAATCTAAATATTTTTATTAAATCTTTTTTTTTTAAGTTAGGAAAGCTACTTTCGCTTTTGGCTTCAAAACAAACTCAAGTTTTAGAATCAGAATTTAATTTATTTTGATCTAGAAATAGACCGTAGTCTAAAGATTTTAATAAAGAAGAGTAAAGAACTTAAGATTCTTTACCAAAGAAGACGTAGTGACACAAAGTCAAGTGACCTAGTCTAAAGAAGTAAAGAACTTTAGTAATTAGATTCTACTTTTTTAGTGTACTAACTTAGTACTAAGTACTAATTAATATTAATAATATTAATAATACGTCATACAGCATACACTAAGTCTAAGTTATAAACAGTAGATAGATATAGACTAGATAGTCTGATATAGGCCTAACAAATCGTCAAATAGTATTATTATTTATTTACTAGATCTAGGGTCTAAGTATTTTATTTAGATCTAGATGTCTAGATCTCTGATCTATGCCTTATTTTAGTTAGACCTAGATCTATATAGATCTAGATCTAGATCTAGTATATATTACAGATCTACGAACATTTTGTAAAACAGAAACCTTTGGTTAGACTTAACTTTTGAATTTAGGCCCATAAGTTTTTCTTTAGACTTTCTTTTGCTTAGTAAGTTTAGGCCTGATTAAATTAGTAGTTTGGCCCTATGTATTAATCATATTATTATAGTTAGTTAGGCCTATAGGCCCCTAATTTAAATTATGTCTATTTAGTAATAAAGACTTTGGGTAATCTATCGTTTTGGGTAAGTTAAATCGCCCGTAACTAGTAATGTGAAAAACAGGTGACTCCTTACATTTTAATAATTATTTCACATTTTGAGGAGGATTTATGTTTTGAAAAATACAAAAATGTTTCCTTGTTTCATTTATGTACCTGTTTTTAAACAATTGAATTAAAACTTTTCAGTAATAAATGAACACCAGCGATGTTTCCAACAGATGCAACCATGCTCATTTACTATAGCAGCCATCTTGTTAAAGTTTTATTTTTATAGACTTATAGCGCGAGATTCAGGCTGAAGTCACTCTATTTTACAAATGGCTGCTGTTTAATAGCATATCTTGCTTGCAGACACTGCTGTTTAAAGTTAATTTCTGGCCTATATTGATATATTTAGCCATTGATTTGGGTTTATTATTCATTTATCTATAATATTTGACACAAACATATCACAATATACTTCTATTACAGCCTTGACAATGAGGTAACGTTTTCGTACATTAATAGCCGCGGGCGATTTTACGTACCCAAAACGATAGATTACCAGACTTTGCCTTTATTAATTTTGATAAATAGGCCCCTATTTTAAATCAATGGCATATTTTTAAAAATAATTCCTTTTCCTAGTACTTTTTCTTTTAGTACTTGATCTAGAAGTAGATAAACTAGATATTACGCGGTGACAGTAGGCTAGACCTAATAACCGTAATTACTAATTAGTCGTCTGCTTAGCAGTTAGTCCTCGTAGAGATAGTTATAGTTATATATATAGACAAGTTATAGTGTACCAGTATTACTAGATAAAATTCTATATCTAGTAGTAGCTCTTGAAATTCCAAATTTGATTTAAGCCCAAAGTGGGCCTAAAAATTGGATTAATCTAATAATTACTATTAATTAGGGCCTAATTAGTTTTATTATAATAAGCTTTGTTTGGCTTTGTATTACTGTCATTGAGCTTTTAATTTAACATTGAAAATTTAATTTCAAGATTTAAAAAAAAAAACGGCAACTTCAATTGATCTATATAGCTAGATTCTAGATATTCATACTGTTTACAATGCCTACTTAGTAGAAATTAAATATTCTATAATTACAGTATTCTGACTATATCACTCAGAATAATCAAATATGACTAAATAGGCCTAATGACTACTAATGTATATTACATTGTTTAAGCATGTATTTTTAGTGTCTGTGTACACTATTTAATATTTATTTTTACTGTTAATGAAAATATTTCTCCACAGATGAAGCATGTTCCACTTGCAAAAATAAAAAAAAATATTGTCTTGTTTTTTTTTTTTTTACTTAGGCTAATAAAACAGTTGTGTGGTCAACACTTAAAGTCAGTATCTCAAACCAGTTACCCTGAATGTACTCAAGCCCTCAAACCACTTCTCTGGAATTAGCAATTGTGTGCTCTACTGCTTGACCAATGAATCCCAATTTAGTATTTGTAGGTCATTGTAAAAATATATATTGATATATCCTAAATAAATCTTCTATCAAGTGTTAAGATTCGTGTTATTTGTATTGAGTGTTGTTTTAATACGTTCTTTGTGTGTGTTAGTTAAGTGATTTTGGAAAGCTGTAGTGATTGAGGAAGCTAAACTGTGTTTAACTTGCAAATTTTATTTAAAGCAAAATACACTGGCGCTAGACTGCCATTACTGCTAACCCAAAGTCTTAAGTTGAATTGAGGTTTAAGTCAGTAAAAAGTCCCTGAGTGCACCCAGCAGTGATGGGTACCTAACTCACATTAGTGAAAGTAAATGTGGATGGGCATATGGCTGACCAAATCATCCCTTCCCATGCCAAGGTCACAAAAGTAGGTGAACTCTATGTTGTCAGATCCATGG